TAAAAACTAAAGATTTGTTCATTCTACATAATGACATGAATTACTTATAAACTTGGGTAAACAAATGCAATTCATTTTTTATCACAGGAAAAAGGAAAAAATAATAAATGTTAACCATGGCCGTTTAAGTCTCAGTCTTATTAGAAGAGAGTGGATTAGTGCAATGAAATTCAGTACAAGCTTTGTAGAGCTGAAGGGAACTGCAGAGTTGATCATTGTTACAACTAACCTCATTTATGTCATTTGATACCTTTTTGAAATAAAAAAACAGATTAAAGCAGCTTAAATGGAGCTTTAAACATTAACATTTGCTGTCTAATGCACAGAAACTGTTGCTTTTGGATACCAGTTTAGACATAACAGCCAGTTGTGATGAAAGCAGTCCAAAGTGCTGCCTCTGCATCAGTGAGGTCTGGTTGAGGAGAGGGCCGGTGCTGGGACAGCAGTAAATCTGCCAGCCAGCCTTGGCTAATGTCAGCCTGATGGAGGCTCCAAACCAGTGGGGTGGGATGTTCCGCTACAACCCTCTGCCCTATGGTCTAACGTCATAATTAATATGTTGTTGTATCAAAGTTGAAGCATTTGCCTCTGAAATGTCCCGTGCACAGGCCCCTTATTAAAGACCTGACCTCCAAGCAGCTGAAGGTTGCTCTGCAAACTTGGCACGCCCCCGAGTGAAAACATCTGCTTTCCTCACAGGCAGGAGCGCCACGGACCCCCGTCTCAGCTGGTTCCCACAGCTCGGAGAGAGAGCCCTTCCCCTGTCCTCGCACACTGACCCCCACATTTATAACCCCCCCACCGCCACTGAGACTTCCTCAAGCCTTGGGCCCAGGCCTGGACCTCTCCATCACCTCAGCCTCTCCCCCGTCCACATGTAGCACCGTGCCAGTGTGGTCACTGTACTGCTGAGAGGACTGCTCCTGTCTTGTTATCCCCACATCACAGCCTGTCCAGAGGAAGGGAGGGATGGAGGGAGGGAGGGGGGGAGGAGGGAGCGGGGGAGGAGGCATCTGCGCTGCTCCCACAAAGCGGCGACTGTTGGAACGCTGACAGAAGCATCTGTCATCCCCTGCCTCACACACTCACCTGCTGTCCGAGGGCCCGGCTCTTCCTCTCCCACTCTCCCTCTGATCTTTCTTGGTAATTATGTGAAGCTCTTGAACGCCTCTTTTAGAGATCCCACAAACTGTACCTTTTCCCATCCTCACCCTTAATTAAATAGAAACATCCATGCCAGTCTACATGAGCAAACACACAGGTTTTTTATTAAATATGGGCTATTTGCGGATTCTAAAGACATATTTCACTATTATCTGTGGTTTATCACGAGATACCAATACACTTATCTGTGATGACAGTTGGGCAGTGTCAGTTTGTTCCCATGGAAACATAAATTGTTGAGAGTAAATGTTTCTTTTTTTGTTAGTATATAATGATAATGCTCTGATTGGGTAGCTGGTCGGCTCTGATGTGATTGGTCAACCGCTAAGAGAAGTCCGGCCCCTTAGCCTATCATGTACAATGTGTTGTAGCGCTAGCCAATAGAAGCACAAGTGTTACATAGTGATGTCACTATGTTGCGGAAGTAAACAAAGGAGTCCAATGGAGGAGTTTCAGGGAGGGGGGTAGTGTGTGGGAGAGAAACTCAATCTGAAGGGAACTTTGGGATTTTAACCTTTGCATTAACATTCACAAAAACATAAATAACACACTACGGGAAAAGGAAAACCGTAAAAAGCCTAATAGTGCCACTTTAAAAAATACTTTTTAAACCCTCAAACTTGTGGTTTATGAGGACGGCCTCTGTCCTCAACCTCGTAGAACTTCCTGAAAGTCTTCATTGCCAAGTCCTTGCCAAATGAAGCAGTATTTATCAACAAATATTACAGTGTTAATGAATGTACTGACCTGTTTAGCGACTACTTTATCATTCTCCAGTGGCACCCCCGTCCATTCCCCTAACATGCTGAAGGGTTGCCAGCAGTAAGGGGAAAGATGCCAATCCATGTGTACAGTATGACACACACGTAAAAAACACACACAATCTCAAGGACACCATCGCTCATTCAAGTCCAGGGAAGGTGCCCTTCAGACGGTGCCACAGGGAAAGTGTGAAAAATCCCAAATCAATGATTTTTCACAAAGTTTGAACCTTTATAAATGTTGATCAGTATTGCTTAGTAGTCTGAGTGATGGGTTGAAGTTATGAAGTAAAAGAAGGGCAAGGTCTCTTCTGTTTTGGAATTATTTTTTAATTAAAAAAAAATGTGTTTGAGATTAAGCAACTTGCCAAAAACAAAACTTGTATTATGTAGATTTTTTAAGTGATATTTTTTAGGCTAATGTTAATTCGAGCATTCAATTAATACGTGAGATTTGCATTTGACGGTTTCTAATTAAGTAGTGCATTTACAACAGAGGAAAAACATTAATATATATATAACTAGTAGGAAACATCCATTTAAAAAAACAAAAACATGTTTTCAGCTTATGGTCCAGCTCAAGTCACTGTGACATCAGAGCTCACTTCACGACTTACTGTTATACACTCTATCTAGGCTTAATTTTGCGGAACATGAAAGGGAAATAACTTCCTTATCTCCTGGTCTCATTGCCATGACGTGCCAGAGGTCAGCACTGAAGTAAGGGAGGGGATTTGGAATGAAGCTGGTCATATATAAGGTAACTTCTCTCAGCATGCGAGCGAGGACGCCGCAAAGAAGAGAGGCAGGTTAACAAATGAGGGAGGAAGGGTAGCAGGACTTTGTGGCCCTCTGAGACAGAGTGGGTCGGGATGTTCTGCCAACACCTCCTATGCCAGGGTGAAGGATACACACTCACATTCATGTCTCGCACACACACACACACTTGCTGTCATCTTTCAATAGCTTCATCCCTGGCCTCTGTTACAGCCGTGTGTCTGAGCAGGAACCCCACTAAGCTGGCTGGGGTCCAACACCGAGGTCTCTCACCTCGCAGGCTGGGCGGGGGGCCGGGTAGCTCCTGTGAGTTATTCCTGGGCAAGGACCCGGGTCCACCTCTCTCTCGTCTTCTTTTGTCTCATCCACTCGCCTCTGGCCTAGCCTGGCCTCCTCTCCTCCCTTATCCCCCTCTCTGGGTCCCTGTGGCTGATGAGCCTGTCCTTCAACTATCAGCATCTTCTATTGACTTTAACACACACACACACACACACACACACACACACACACACACACACACACACACACACACACACACACACACACACACACACACACACACACACGCACATGCAGTACACTTGGATTTATGTAGGCTTACTTGTGTGGCCATAAATGTTGAGGTCACCTTCCTTCATTTCCACCATCTGCAGTTTTTCAAAGCTCCTGTGTCTGACTTATGTAAAGATTTTTTTAAACCACATATTTATCAGCCTATGGGGAACATTCAAACAATTACATAGGTATATTTTAGGATTGTAATTCTCAGTATACCCATAGTTGACATAAAATGTGTCATTATCTATTTTTCCTCGTGTGCAGAACAATTGCCGAGTGATGGCAATGAAAATCTGAACTCAGGCTCCAACCAAACAATGAACATTTTAAATGATTAAAAAAATAGATTGTCACACAAGTAAAATCAAAATGAAAACATTGAATAGTACAAATTAAATATGGGATTCAATCATTAACAAGGAAGTTAATAGATCAGTTGTGGAAAGAGACTGTCATAATGTATAGGATTTGCAGATTTAAAAAGAAAAATTGCTTAACAGTCCCAAATAGATTTTTAGGAGCGTTCACACCGATCTGCAATGTATCCAAAATGATATAAGAACTAGGCTATTTTTGGAGCATATAGCAAATTTTGCTTCATGTGTTAGGCCTGATCTCACCGCTAGAGGTCACTGAATACCGCACATTGAGTTCAACTAGCCTATGTTTATGAGCTACATTTGTCCATTACACTTTTCATTTTTGAAATGTATGTTTAATAATCACAATCATACATAGATTATAAAAATGAATACAAATCTATTTATTTTACAGGGATGTGAACATTTATAAAATATATAAATTAAAAACCTGTAGGTCTGGTTTAAATAGTCAATTTACAATTACAATTTACAAAAAAACTAAATGCAGGAAGAAAGAGGAGGAAAACTCAAACAAGATATTTTTGAGAAAAGAAATGGAGAGTATTGTGATGATTATTTTTCGGGGCGGTTATGTTGCACATGCAATTAAGCTTTTTTGCAAATATTTTGAGTTCATTCTGCCAGCTGTTTTCCCCTCACACTACTTCTTTCAGCATGATTACATTACAATTAGATAGTTTGACTAACTCTCTTACAGTATTCACATTTGTATTCAAATACAAAGTTGTTGTCCCATCCTTAAAGTAAAAAAAAGATTGCATATCCCTGTATTTTCTTAAAGAGCCTTTCTTTTTAGGCAATTTAATGATCAGATCTGGACCAGGCATAACCCCACATGTTGTTTTAATGGTTGGATCCTGCAGCATCAGTACCAAGCAGCAGAGAGGAGCCGCTGCAGAGCTCTCACTCTGATCCTGTTTCAGGTACCAAGAACATTAGAGATTTACACTTTACCACTAATACACATACCTGTACATGTTGTGAGTCGTATACTTTAGAAAAACAGGATTCTTTGCTGAATAAATACTTATAGTTGTAATGATAACGACAGTAAACGTGGCTGTATATGTTTGTAAATATCAGATTTAGAGCGCATGCGTGGAAGTTCACGCCCACTTTTTTCCGAACACTTCAATCAACCCACGGTTACTTTAAAAGATACTCGTTTTTATAGAACACAATGTGGCGTAATTGAGACCCACGCTCTAACTTCACAATCCTTATTCATATTAATAAAGTGTTTACAAATGGTTGGATCTACTTATTGAAATACACAACACATGTAAAGGCGTGTAATTAAAATAAACTCCCCCCTCCGTCCTGTCATATAATGGTACAGTCTGTGTCGACGTCCTGCGCGGGAGCGGAAAACGTGCATCCGACTGTGGGGAAAAAAGAGCGTTGTGTTTTCCTGGTTAGAATTTGTGCTGCCACAAAACACTTTACGGAAATATATATAATTGTCGACTATCTTATAGACGTCGTCACAAACTACAGGTCAGTGTAGCGGATTGTTGCACATGCTGAATGTATCTGTACACGTTTTTATGACTCATTCAATGCGCCTCAACAATGTTTAGATACATTGCACAACAAACGTTTACTTTTGTATTAACTTCCATGCTTTCATCTTTTTCCAGTTTGCTAATACGTTCAGTATGACTCGAGATTGGAAACCTGGTGATCTGATCTTTGCCAAGATGAAGGGCTATCCACACTGGCCTGCAAGAGTAAGTATGGTGCTTTATCATAGGACTCTTACCAATACTATGCATTTCTTTAAATACATCTGAATATGTTTCACTAAATAAACAACAGTAAAGTAAGATTAGCTAAGCATAACCAGTTGAGAAAATATCAAATGTGTCACTTTTCTTTTTAATGTGGATATGTTTTTGTAGATGTTTGTTACTAAACACCTGCCTTATTTCTAATGCCCCTCCCAGATCGATGAAGTTCCGGATGGTGCTGTGAAGCCAGCCAACATCAAGTTCCCCATCTTCTTCTTTGGCACCCATGAAACGTTAGTAACTGACCGCTAACAATCTTTGTATTTTAGTTTAGTTTGATAGATCTTTATTATGGTGAAGTAGCATTTAATGTTTCGCTTATTCTGGGTGGAAACAGGTATTGAATGAAATACAGCAAAAATCTGTTGTTGTATGGTCAGGTAAAACAAATAAATAAAACTGTTGCTATTGAGAAAAGGTTGTAAAACATTTACATGTACAGTGCACTGTTTACACAAAACACCAGCCTACACATAGGTGCTAAGGTGAAAGAGATCAGAGAAGAGAACACATATGTGGCAAAAAATATATTATCTTTGAATCATCCTTGCATTAGTTAGGTAGCTTTTTCTCAAATTAAGTTATACTGTATTGTGCTCTGTTGATGGTTTTTCTATAAATGCGTACATTTTTAATTATCGCTGAATAGTTAGTGTCTGTATGCTGTTGTTTCATTTCACACTAAACGTGCACTACAAGTACACAAAGTGTTAAATAGGCTGACATTGTGTGTTACCTTTTTCAAACAGAGCATTTCTTGGCCCAAAAGATGTCTTCCCGTACCATCAACACAAAGAGAAGTACGCCAAGCCCAACAAGAGGAAAGGCTTCAATGAAGGATTGTGGGAGATAGAGAACAACCCTAAAGTTGAACTCACTGCACCAAAGGTACATCCTCCTTCAAAGACATTTGACATTGTTTATCTTCCAGACATTTACAGTACCTAAGGCATCAAGCAAGAGTACTTCAGATCAGAGAAAGCTTTGACATGTTATTGTATGTGCACCTGTTTTAAATTGTATCTTCATGTTGTAACTTTTTACCTAAACCTACAGTATGAGAACCACCGAATTCATTTGATATTTATTTTTAGCTACCTTGGTTCGGAGCTAGGAAGTTACTTTAGTTTTGAGCAATTTGTTTCACTTAATCCATTTATTGTATATCATTTGATTAAAGCCGGTGACCACTCACTTCACTGAAAAGGATTTAGACAACAGCCCAGAGGGAGAAGAAGCGGCCGAGGACAAGGTGACAAAAACCAAAGTACGTTTTTGCTCTTTAAATCTGTCATTTGAAAGTCAATATTTACACAGCCGCTTCACAGTCTGCTCCTGTGTCGTCAGCTTCTTTCTTCTTTTGCTGTTTTCCATCTTATCTTCTTCTAAAGTGTTTCTGCTGCATACTGAATTTCATATCAGTGCAGGCCATAGCTTACTAAGCTAAAAGTGTCTTTCTGTATTAATAGAGTGGAAGAATTATACGTAGAGTGTGCATCAGAAGGAATCTCGCTAACTTTTCTCCCTTTGAAGACTCATTTACCCCACCACACTGCGTCCTATGCTGTGTCTTGGGTGCATTCAGGTTCCAGGAAGTGAGGCTGAGCAGGAGAATGAGAATGAGGAGGAGGAGGAGGAGAATGAGAATGAGGAAGAGGAGGAGGAGGAGGAGGAAGGGTCTCTGATCTCTGAGCAGAGTCCTCAGAACCAGGATGTAGGTACAATGCATGCTGGGATCTCATAAAAAGGCGCGGGTCGCCTTACCCCCCTCCCTGTGAGAAAGCATGTGACACTTGGTGGTTTCTTTTACTGGTGGTTTGTTTCTGTTTGACTCAGAGTTCTTGTTGGTGGCCACAGACTTCCACTGGTGCTTGGAGTTGTGATTGAGTGCCTGCTTTGGGTTTTCTGTGTTAATTCCACTAATGGGATGACGTATTTTTCCTAGGAAACAGTCTCTGTGATGCTGCTGAAAATCAGTGAATAGAGTTAATTATGTCCTTTAAGCACAGCTGACTCTTGATCTAATTGATTTTAGGTTTGGGACATTTAGTCTTGTGTGACAAAATCAACAATTCTTCTTTTTTTTCACTCTCTGAGACCACCCTGGTAACTGTGTTTCTGCTTTCCATGTCCTGCCTGTCCCCGTCCCCGTCCTCATACTCACAACACTACTGTTTGCACTGAGTTGATTTGAATTTATTTTTGCATGGCTTTCCGTGTGCTAACGAGAAAGGTAAGGTATGACTCTGTTTACGATTGTATGTATTTTCCCATGCTCCCTGCAATATTTGAATAAGTGATAAGTGTCTTTACAATAGACACTAACCATACCCAAAACATTACGAATACTTTGCACATTTGCAATCCAGTGTGTAAAAGTGGAGCTTCTCACAAAACTACTATTTCATTATGAGGAAGCTATAACAGAAATACCTTCTTTTTTTTATATAAAAGGTTAAAAAAGGAAAAAAAGAGTGTTGTATATTTTAAATCAGTATATACTGTTAACATTAGTATATGCACTTTATATCTATTATGTATAGAATTTGGACACAGCTGACACGTTATGAATTCAGAGAGTGTAATATCCCAGTTGTGCACTAGATGGCGCTTTTGATCCAGAAATGTAAGTTATTGTTGAGGCAATAGATCCTCAAAGATCTATTCTTAGTTCTTCTCCACTTAACATGTACCGATGTTTTGCACAAATTGCACGCATGAAAATGAACTACAAGAACAGTCAAAAGTCACAACTAAAGACTGTAATGAAATTAACAAAAGGGTTGCATTTTAGGGCTCGACACAGAAAGAATCCACAGATGTTCCCAAACCGAAAAGAGGAAGGAAAAAAAAGGTTAGTCGTTTTTTATTTTTGGGTTCTCTTTCAGTGAGTAAACAATCTTCAAGAAACGGTTTGTAGGAAACATTTTATAACATGGTTTGTTTTTTATTTTTATCCCAGAGTGATGCTGAGCAGGAGACTGAACAACAGGACGCTCCTGCCAGTCCTGCTAGTCCCTCAGGTACGCTGTGTGACCTCTGGTACTTATAAGAGGATTGAATGTCTTTGTGTTGAATATAAGCATATTCATAATCTTTCAAACATCATTCAAAATAAAGTATGTTTGACAGACAGGAGAAGGATATAAGCACTACAAATACAAATAACTAACATGAAACACATTTTAAAAAGAGATTGATTAGATTTCAGATGCTGTTATGGATCCTAATTTGGGAAATTATTTTGTGACGGCAACATGTAGACAAGGCACATGAATAGAAAATAGGAAATACAAACATCAGTAAATCTATACATATCATTATCAACAATATATTTACTGTTGAATTGTAGGATATTGGCGAGGTATCGAACCCTATTCTAAGTAGAAGTCTGAGCAAACTCTTCTCTTTTTGCATACATTGGACTTATGTGTGTGTGTGTGGTGTGTGTTTGTGTCCAGGTGCAGAGGGTTCTAAACGAAGAGGCAGGAAGCCCAAAAGTGAGAAGTCCCTTTTGCTCCAGCAGCAGCAGGACCAGCAGGGCTCAGGAAGTGAAATGTAACTACACGAAACACACACATCATAAGTCTTGCTATACTTTTTTTTCGTGTACACAGCTTAGGTGGTGGGCACAGAATGATCTCTAAATTCTTTAATATGTATCGGTAGAGAGCTGGCTCCATAGCTTATTTGATTTCCTTTGAATTAACATTTGTTTGTTTACTTATTCCTCAATTGTCCTTGCACCATTTTGTCACTCGCAATATTTTAAAACGCTAATTCATCTCTCTCGAGTCTTACGTTTGCTGTGTGACACGTTATGGTTTTTATCGCCAACAACTACACTGTTGTTTTTTTGCATATGATCATAAAACCTTTGATTCTTGAGTCTTACCAAACCTTTGCTCACACATTCAGGGAGACTGAGTCCGAGAAAAAGAGAAAGCGGTCACAGGAAGACAAGAACAAGAGTGGAGAGGAGGAGAAGAGAAAGAAGGAGGACAGCAAAGGAAAGGAGGCGGAGGGGAAGGAGCCGGAACCCAAGAAGAAGAAGAAGGACGACAGCTCCTCAGGCTCTGATGATGAAGAGGCAGGTCTAACATGATGCTTCCTTATTTCTAATTGGTGTTTACAGTCAGTAAAATGCTTTCACGCACTTTCTTTATCCTTTTTATCCCAGAAAAACAAAGGCAGGAAGAAAAACCAAAACTCAGAAATGGACAAAGACGCGCGGCGACGGAAAGCCGATGAATTGAGAGAGTACGTATAACACCCATTTAAGATGACAAGATGATATCCTCATGTTACTTATTCTGGTTTGACAAACAGACAACAAGTGTTCAGATAACAATCGTATTAAGAGGAAACGTTTGAAGAACATCTGAAAAGGGTTAATAAGAAAATGGATAATTTGACCCAAGAAATAATTTAAATGGATTATTAGAATAAATGTTACTCATTTCATCAGCTACCCCATGTTGATACTGTGTTTGACACTAATTAAAATGTATGACGATCATTATAAGAGGCTTATTTCTGACATGGTGTGGTTATTCTCTCTTGCAGGCCAAACAAAGACGATGGGAAGAACAATGAGGAGAGGACAGGAGCCAAGAAAAAGGGTCAGTTCTGTAGCTCAGATATTGAAACTTCCAGCAACTTCATTATCATTGGAAATGTTTAGGGAATGAGCCAATACTCTCAAAATCCACCTTTTAATAATAAAATAAAAATAACCCTATGAACGTGAGATCAATGGATGAAAACATTTTCAGTTCTATTTGAATTCTACAAGTCCTTCAGGTTTTACATTTTTACAAATGTAAATGAAGTCTTTGTTGAGTGTCTTGAATCAAGAACTTGACTTACTTTTCCCACAAATAAAAAAAAAAAGGTTTTTGAAGCCTAGGTTTCCACAATCATTAAAACAATCTTCCGGATGTGTAAAAAGCTGCTGCCTGTCTCGAAAATTGTTTTTGAAGCCAATATCATTCTTATATTCACAGTCTGTTTAGATGGTAACTTAATATAATACATTTGATTTATTTTATCTGTTCCACAGAAATGTCAACTGACTTGAAGCTCCAGAGACTGCACAGTGAAATCAAGATTTCACTGAAAATCGACAACCCTGTAAGTTCTACTAACCACTTGGTTGGTCATAAATATACAATGTAATCTTAAAAGTGCATATTTTTCCACTGAAGACTTCTGGAAGTGATTATCTTGAATGAAGGGGGAAAGATGAAATGAAGACGAAACAATCAGTTATTTATCTCGATTGACCATCAAATACAGTTACTATACTACTCCTATAACTATTTGTGCAACGTTTCTGGAAGTTATTTATATCTTTCTCTGAGATTAGCTTTGTCCCTTTTGACATGCACATCGTAAGGATGCAAATGGACACTAACGTTTGAACTTTATCGGACTGGACATTTAAATGGGTCCTTTTTTAATGCTTATTGGCTTGTTTTCATTTCCTGTAGTGTGTTATAGGTTTTTGTATGTAAATGGT